TTTGCTTTTGCTTTTTTCGGTGGATTGTGAGACTCAATGATTTTAAGTGTATCGTTCTGTGTTCATGTATTGCATGTGTGTGGATGTGCATACAAAAAGCCTAAAGCCAGATTACATAGAGGCTAAAATATGAACCTGTTGCTAGGGGGACAAATTCCCACTGGCCCCAAAGCCTCAAACATCAGATATAGGTGAGTATTTGTAATTCCATATTATTTTATATTATTAGTCATCATTCCTATTTTTAATATCTTTATATTACAAAGTAACAATGACACTTTATTGTTGAATATTTGGAGGAAATCATAAATACCAGATCCTGTCATTTTTACAGATTATAGAAAAGAAAAAAAATCATCTTAAAAGCAAATTTGCACTCTGTTAAAATTAGTAAATAAGTCAAATTAAATGCCATAAAAACAATAGAAAAACAAGTTAGGATATAGAAAAGGGTATGTCATAAACAAGAAATCAAAAAGATCACCAACTTAGCCAATCTGATTTCCTCAGGCAAATCATTCCAGAGCCTTGGGGCTAAATGTTTTAACCTCTTATTTTTCAGCAGGGCTCCTTGAACAGATAAAACATCTCTGTCCAAGGTTCTCAAGGCACATACTGGAGCATGCATTACTGAGAAGTCGGAGATGTAGCTGTGAGCAAGGGCAGGAAGGGTCTCAACAAAATCAATAAAATCTGAAACATACTGGGAGCTTGTGTAAAGAAGCTAAAACCAGAGTGGTATGATCACACCTCTTAGTTCTGGGTAAAAGCCCACTAGCTTTTGTAGGTCAAAAGTTGTAATCCAGGGTCAATAAAAACACGTCAAATGGTACGTGTGTCTTTCAGCAAGGTCAGGGTTTTGAAATATTTCTAAAATGATAAGAAAATAGTCTCCAAAATTTTCTGTGGCTTAATATTATTATTTATAATAATCTGTATTGCTATAGAGTCAGCACCAGTGCTGTCAGTCCAGTTCAATGGGTATTCATGCAGTACAGTATCATTTAAGCTATAGTAATGCAGTTCAGTCATGGCAGCTCAGTTACTCCTTTCACTTGCTTTCACTTTGTACTTGACCAAGTAATAAACAGATTATGATTGAAGAGGTGAGCCTGTGGTTCCTCTGGGTACCTCATCGCTCTTTGTCTCTTCAGTGATGCTTTCAAGTGATTTCGACATCTTTATTAATCCCTGGGGCGTCTTGGGTCGATTTGTGGCTCTAAGACCAATAGTGTATGCATTTTTCTAAGATGCCCCAGGGGTTAATATAGGCTAAACTGAACAAGCACTGCATTTTTAATATGCTCAAATCTTACAATATTACATGTTTACAATTATTTGGTAACCATAAATAACATGTTAAACAACAATTTGGGTGCTTTCAGGGATTTTCAGGGAATTTAGGTAAGGTAGTTTATGTTTGTGTGTTTCTCATTTTGTCAGTGTTAACTGATTAAGACAGCTGATATCTCAAGCGATGAATAAGAAGCGATATCACAAGACTGACAGCTGCCAAACTGAGTTGTCCTCATACTTGCCATTAGCCTGCAGCCTTCCTATTATGCCTTGCTCTCTGGCTGTGAACACCTGCTGAACTTGAATTGGTAGAATTTAAACCACTAGATAGTATGTTTGAAGGTAATGCTTGCTTATGACCTGCAAAACAAAGACTTTACCTTTACATATGCACAACTTGGTGCTCACATAGTCATGGATATAGAGTAAGTAGCAAAAATGTGCATCCGTGACAACTGAATCTTGAAACATTACCGCAGCAGACAACCTAAGGACTATATTAAAGTGGCTTAAACAGTAACCAGTTAATGGGCATCTAGATAAATCCCTAAGAGAATAAATGTTTTCCTTTTGTAGAAACAAGTCTAATGAAGTCATTGTGTCGTACATGTGCATTCAGAGGGTGATGAAACAAGCTGACCAGTGCTGACTATCACTAGGCTCACCTGTTATTGCACAATTGCTTCATAAACTTTATTAGATTATAGCCGGTGTGTATTGTGCTCATAAATATCCATCAAAGATGTTACCTTTTCTCATAAATTTAGAATTTAGAATTTAAAGCATAGATAGAACAATAAAGAAAAATAACACAAATACAGCAGCCAGTGAAGAGTTCCAGGTACTTCATGCAAACTGCATTCATTTTGCTCATGACCTGCAACACAGCTAATGCATACTGTAAAGAGTTTTCCTTCCGTTCCTTGCTCTTGCTTTCTTTCTCCGTCAAACATGGAAGAAGATTTGCAAAGTTGGACCACTTATACCTGACTGCAGCACTTAGCTGTGCACAGTATAAGTAGGAGCAAAGAGGAGCTACACAAGTAGAAAGCAACAAAAAAACAACTATAAAGTATAATAACAATTAAAGATTTTCTCATCTTGCAGCCAGACTGTATATTCTTTTTGGGCAACAGATCTCTGCCTGGGTTCATTCACATGTGCATGTACTGTGCATTTGCAGCAATAACTGTCACTAGACCTTTTTATTTCTTCTCAAAAATATACATTAAAAAAAAGTAGGTGCAATCAATTTAAATTCCAACAAAAGTAAGTGGTGCATACAGAATGGCAGTAAGACCCACTCACTCAACACTAATGTTCACACTCAGTGATGCTCTTTGTCACCCTTTGTTACCCTGTGACTGTAACACACTGGGTTCTGTAGAACTGTAGATTTTTAATGGGTAATCTGACATCTGTGCAAAGGCAATATTTTTATAACTAACTACGGATATTTCTAAAATTGTGGCATCTACTTTCACACTGACTCGAGGCTGAACTTTTGGTAAAAGGTCAGTGTGACCTCGTAAGTCTTTCTTGCTACAACACAAGCATCGTTATCTTGGATTTTACAAAAACTAATTTAACACACATTTCAAGATTCACAAGATTTCCGAAATGGTGAAGCAAAAAAACTTCTTTCCTGGGACAAACATATATACTCACCAGCTGCTTTATTTTATACACTTTGCTAATACTAGCTTGGTCCCGCTTTGCTTTCAGAGCTACTTTAATTCTTTATGACATCAATTCAACAAGGTGCTAGAAACATTCCTCAGGCACCTTGCTACATATTGACAAGATAGCTTCACACAGTTGATGCAATTTTTTTCTCTACATGCATGATGAGAATCTTCCATTCCACCACATCTGGTGGAGGCCGTTTGAGTACACTGACCTCATTGTCATTGCCAGGAGTGTCAAAATGATTGGAGATTCCTGGCAAACTATCCTGTTGTGAGCAGCCATCATAAAACAGGTACACTGTCACCATAAAGGGATTAACATGGTCAGCAACAGTACTCAGGTAGGCTGAGTCCAAAATTGTGACAAAAAATATTCTCACACCATTCGACCACTAGCAAGCTGAACCACACTTTCATGCTGTCCATGCCGAATAACACTTGCGGACCAAGCAACATTTTTCCAATCATCTGTTGTCGAGTTGTAGCCTCAGTTTTTTGTTCTGCGCTGACAGGAATGATTTAGTTTCAAGGTTCAACTTGTTGGGTATTAAGAGATGCTCATGTCTTGTATGTAACAAGTGGTTATTTTGGTTACTTTTGCCTCCCCATAAGGTTCATAAGCGTTTTATCTAGAGAACTGGATACTTTCTCTTTTTTGGACACCATTCTCTGAAAATCCCAGAGGTGGTTATGTGGGAAAATCCCATTAGGTCAGCTGACCAATTCGTCTGGGACCAACAACCAGCAAGTTGTCTGAGTTGTTGTGATGTGATTGGTAGATCAGATATCTGTCAAACATCAGATATTTGTTTTGACATGTAGTTGCAAAGGTGTACCTAATGAAGCAATTGTATAAAAGGCATCTTGATTTTTGTGTATTAATTCAATTTTTTAGCTGGGTTACACAACTGTGAGCAATATTTCTCCTTTTTTTTTTTTTTTTTGCTCTTAGCAAATTGGTAGGAAAAGTGAGCACAGAGTCAAAATTAAGATTGATGCGTAGAGATCCAAACTAAAATTTATACCACACAAGCTTTAAGTTCGTCCATAATGAAACCATATCAATGAAATCTCATTATCATGTACACTTTCTGGACATTGACGCAGCCTTTTAGGAGATACTACACGAAATTGTGCAAAACACCAAATATATATTTGTGATAATAAATCTTGCAACAGGCAGAATTTATTAGCACAAATGATGATAAATCTTTTGATAATAAATCTTTCATAAACCTCTTGAGTTTTTTTTTTTACTCGCACAGTAGGCTTTCATTCATTTACTCCTTCTGTTTTCTTTATTCAGCAAAACAAGAAATATAGAACACATGAATAGTGGTTTTGGTCTTTTTCTGCTGAATACAAGTTATGTATTGTTATTAAAGCTGGAAAACAGTATTTGCCACTGATGTGCAAAATCATTTATTTACCATCTCTGTGCCCGGTTAAGGTAAGTGACGAGTGGATGTCAGAAACTTGTCACTTTCCCATGATGATATAACAGCTTTAAATAACATGACTCATTACTTTACAGTGACACACAATGAAGTCCTTAACAGAGTGAAAGTGGCTCTTCACACCATAACAGCTTACAATAAAGCATTTCCCCTGGGGTTGGATGAACAGAATTAAACAGGGATAATGACCCCATGGGAAAAAATCTATATCAGAGATGAATGCAGCAAAATGAAGCTACAGAAGATTGCTGAAGCACATCAAAGAAAGTCAGACAATTCTCTGATTGTGGTGGCTTTTACTGCTTTATGAATAGGTCTTCATTTTGTCTCATTTTTGTCTGTTCTTTTTACTACTGACACACTCACACACACTCACACAGAGAAATACGACACTTCCTTTCCAGCCTCACTGTTGTTTAGATTTCAACACCACGCCTTTCACAGGGATATGGCTTCAGCCTTCCCGGTAATTCCACTTAAAAGTAATGATTAACTTCATATCTTCTGAAGTCTGAGGCAGCATATGCAGAATTTATTGACGAGCCAAAAGGACTGTGGGACCACAAGCTCTGAATAAGGGCTCAGGAGAAGCAGCAGTTCTCGAGAGGTCATTTTGGTGAACAACAAGACTTAACAGACATCTGGTTAATGAATCCGGCTTTAAGGTCAGCCTTCCATCCTGTCTGCAGGAAAACACCTAGTGTGCATTTACCGAGAGCTAATTAGGTTTGATGGTTCTCTATGTTACAGAGAAATGTGAAAGATTTGACAATGGGATTCACAGCATTGCACACGCTCTGGCTTCTGACTGCATTTGCTTTTACAACACAAGGTATGTGAAATTACTAAACTATACTAAATTACTATAAATTAGTATTTGCTGAGTAGAGTTTGAAATATCTGCGACAACTGTTTTGCAGCTTTGGATCATATTAACTTATCTAAACTATAAATTTAAATCTAAGTTAGTGTAAAAGGGTGAATATTCTAATAAAGATGTAATAATGGTGTGATGGCGTTACCTCCTCCAACTTTAAGACACAAAAAAACGAAACATGAAACATTTCTTTGTCTGTATCGTTATCTGCAGAGTTGGTGAAACTAAGAGTTAGTCCCAAGATTACCGCAGAGTGTGGCGAGCAAGTTTCCCTCAACTGCAACACATCCTCGGTTCATCATGGAATATCAATCAAACTTATGCAGTGGTTCAAAGAGGAAACACTTTTGTGTTCTGTGGACAGTAAAGGGATCACTACTGAACTCCACAGAGCATCTCTGAGTAACTTTACCTGTGAATATGAAGATGGACAGCTGTCGCTAATCTTCAAAAAGATGCTCCCTCCAGAGAGCGGAAAAAAATACACGTGTAAGCAACGCTCCAACAGAGGAGCACTCAATGAATCTACTAAAGTGGAGTTACAAGGTCAGAGTTCTTCAATTAAATTTTCCTATTAAAGCAAATTATAATATTGCAGAGTAATATGTTTAAACTTCTTAAACTTTTATTACAAAACACATTTTTACTTTGCTTTTGCATTGCAGTCTTCTTTTTTGCCTCTGCTTCCAAATTTACCAGAACACATATCAGACCAAATACAAAGAAAATGCATCTAAACACAAATGTTAATAATTAAGCAAATGTTAAGCAAATGTTTCCTTGTGATTCATCTGACAGCAAAAATTGGCGTAGGATTTTAATAGTTTCACGCGCTAAATGAGATTATTGAATGATGCGGTGTGCGTCGAGTGCATTTTAAAACTTTTCTCGTGGTTTTCCCTGCAGAGTGTGGTGGGATCGTGGAGGGTAAATTAACGACCACGGGACCTGTGTGCACCTTCAAGCAAGTCTACCCAGACGGAAATGTCCACTGGTTCCACGGCTCCCGCAACCTCTCAGATGGATCTCTGAAACAGTACACCGGAAAAAGTGTGGACGAACAAGGCTGGCTTACTATCCACAGTTACCTGGAGCGGAACAGTTCACACGGGCCTTACAACTGCTCCTTGAAGAGCACCGTGTCTGACAGATACATCGCAAGTATGTTGATACAGAATCCTAAACCCCAGAAGAGCACTAGTGGAACACACTCCAACGGCAACAAAGTTACAGCCCGGGAAAGTACCAGAACAATTTTTTGCCTTTTAATCTTACTTCCAGTTATATTTAAATAATGGAATTCCCACCACACGGAGTGTCACCAGACATAGGGAATGTGGGGAGGCATGAATCAATGATTAACACTGATTAGAAGCAACAAGGTACTGAGACTTATGGATTTTTTTGTCAAAACCAGGGCGTCGAGAATCAGATTAAGTGAGTCATCTTGCGTAATCCAAAGGCTTATCTTTCTTCCTTTGTGCTATTGGCTGACATGAACGAGAAAATTACACACCACAGTGAGGTGATAAGAAGACAGCCAGTAATCATAACAGTATAAAATGTGTTGTTGTTTGGCTTCAATAGAGGCTAGGAGAGAAATGCACAGTGGTTTCACGGATCTTTTTAAGAACACAAGGAGATGTTTAAATGGAAACACTCTCAGAGAAAATGCACTTTCTTATAATTGCTAAAGTGATTAAAAACTCTATACTGGTTCAGTTTAATCAGCAGCTATAAACCTTTCCATGGATGTTTTTTTCTCAAGCATGTCCAGCACTGTCATCTGTGTAAAAGTTCTCTATGAATGAAGACCATAAAAGGCTCTTTGTTAGATTTATTTCAGAAATACAGAACTGTCATGTAGCAAACCCCCTTTTCTTTCAGTCAAGCAATAAATCTGTCTAGAGTTTCTGGACAGATGCTGCCCTCTGGTGATATGTGCTGCTAACTAGAAGTAGCTGCTTTAGGAACCACTTGGGAGCAATAGGGCTGCTCGATTATGGCAAAAATGATAATCACGATTATTTTCACTGAAATTGAGATCACGATTATTTGACGATATTTATTTAACCCTTTAAGACCTACTATAGAACCAAGTCCACCAGAGCTTATATTATTTTTTTTACATGCTGTAGTGCCATTTGTGGGAGCATTTCAAGTTGCTATACATCAATACAACTGTTATAGCCCATATTTTAATAATATGTATGCATTAAGTCCATAGTAATTACATAAATTGCAAAAAAGTGCAATAAACTACAAAAAAAATTGAAAATCGCTTTTGTTTTGTTTACATATATTTCTACTTGGAGAAATTTAAGAGGCTTATCCCTCAAAACTTTAAATACAATAAAGTTGCAAAAAATAGTTTACAACAACAGGAAATTTATTTTGAGTGTCTTCATAGTTTTATTTTGGAGATACAGCAATTTTTATATACTGCAGGAAAAACAAAAAACAATCCTATGATGCAAATTTGCAAAGAAAACAGCATGTGCATCATTTCACTGTGGGAAGTGTTACGAACAGCTGATAGGAACGGCAAAGCGTGTTTCTGGAGTATTATGTTTTTGTTCCTGCAAGCGCTTTTTATGCAGTTTTTGCAAAGCTATATGTGGAACGAAACCGTGACCGAGGACAAGCTGATGGCATCAGATGTAAGTACAACTCCTCCGGTTTCATATGCAAAACAAATTATTGCGCTAGCTTACACGGTTCAGGTTCTACAGGGATTTAAAAATAGTTACGCAAAACGGAGCGTGCTGCTCTGACCGGCTTTAAAGGGTTAACAATGACTTTTAAAAAATAATATAAAATAGTGTGCAACACCACTGAAGTTTTTTTTTTTTTTTTTTTTAAACTCTTTTCAACCAACGGCAGTCACTCTCCAAATAACTTCTGCTTAGCTTTCCGAGCTTCCCTCGGGTCCTCTTAATCAGCGGTCTCCAACCTTTTTTGCGCCACGGACCAGTTTATGCCCGACAATATTTTCACAGACGGCCTTTAAGGTGTCGCGGATAAATTAGGGAGGGGCTAATAATCGGCTCAGTCATTTTTAATGATCGTTGAAAGCCCAGATCGTAATCGTGATTAAAATTCGATTAATTGAGCAGCCCTAGGGAGCAATATGTTTTCATTCAACGGGCTGATTTACCACACTTTGCACCAGCCTGGTAAACATAGGCAATTTAGTTCAGAATCATTAATTCCAGGTGAGAGCTGATTGATATAAAGTAAATCAAATATCAAAATAGTTACATCACAGGAAAGTACAGGAGAAAATGTTGTGGTAATTTCACTTGCTGTCAGACTTAAACAATGAAAATGGAAAAGAAAAAAAATACACAACAATTTTAAACAGAGCGATGAAAATATCTTTTGAAGTGTGTGTGAGGTCCGTCTCTGGAGCACTGCTTTATGTGTGTAGCTGTTCAGTCCCATGAAAATAAAACTCTCGGCCACAATGTAGACTGTAAAAGATGACCTCTTTGACCAGTTTCCTTCTGAAACACGTCATACTCCAGGACATATTTGAACTGTTAGTCAAGCAACAAGTAATAGCGTGCATGTTCAAAATACAGATTAAAGTTTCTCTTTTTTTCTTTTCATTAGCTAAAAAGTGATAATAGCCAGCTCGTTTGACTGGGGCTGTTCTTTAAGTAGCTTGTAACACACCACACATGAAAACCTGTTAATGCAATGCTCCTGGGTCTTTGACCCGGTGTTTTGAGTTTATTCTTTATTAAGTCTCCGTCTCTGGTGTTCTGCTACTTCCTGTTTTATATTGCCAGTCCCTCATCTTGTGTGCTTTGTGAAAACGTTTGCTTCCCATGTCTTGTTTTCCCTGATTTGGTTCACCTGTGTTCCTTAGTGTCTTCCTTTTTCCTAATTACCTCCTGTGTGTACTTAAGACCCCAGTTTCTTGTAGCACTTGTTGTGACCTCCCTCATGTTGTGTGCTCAGTGTGTTTCTTAGTTCCTTGTACTGTATGTATTTCTCGCTTCTGCCCCCATATTATTTGTCTCTTGTACTTTTTAGCAAGTTTACAGCAATGAAGCTGCCTTCTTTAGTTCATTTTCCCGAATTATGAGTCCTGCATCCGAGTCTGCAATCTTCCTGCCACACAACACTTTATGACAGGTCACCTTAGTTTCATAAAAATGCTTACAGTAAACTTGAGCAAGAATATTGCCTCAAGTCATTATTCATGCTCCTCATCTTTCAGTTTGCTTTTCAATCTCTGACTAGTGAGTCCTAAACGCCAGAGGACAAACCCCGCTCCAAGGCAAAAACTGAGCCTTTTAACGGCTCACTGCACCCTCTTCAGACAGAACATTTGAGAGGCTTTTCAAGTCAGAGTGACTCTCAGCTAATGCTCTCACTAAATCAGTGTCATGTAGCAGACTGGCTGAGATCTAGTGGGTAAACCAATCCAAGGTCACATATTTGAGAGCTGACAGATGCATCCAGTTACAGTACAAACCTGACACAGTATACACAGACAGATGCACAGCACACACATCTATACACATGCAATGTCCTGACCACAAATGGAAGCCTAACTAATGCCTGCCTAACACAAACCATCGTCTTGACAATAAAAATGTTTTTACAATAATGTGGTTTTAATGTCCATAACTGGGACTTACTTACTTTCCACCCCATAATTGGGGAGCTCTATAAACAAATGTATATTCCCGCAGTGTCACAGCACATCAGTCCTGATATGTTTTATGAAAATGTTTGTGTTGTTTTAATGTGTTTTGCACCGAAATTGATCTGTCACATATTTAACTTTGAAAAATAATGCTAATGATGCAAATTAAGTGTTCTTGCAGAGAACAAAGCAAATTACAGAAATGTCAGCAAAGTAATTCTCTTGCAGACTGAGTGATAATGAGCTAATTAAATTTGAAATTAACAGTTTAATTCTGAATCTTAATGTAATGCTCTTCTGTCGGATGTTATACATTTGAAGTTTAAATAAAGATTTTAATCAAGAAAAAGAATAATGCATGTCTTTACAAGCAGGAGAGCTCAGTAAAGGACTTCCACTGTAGTTTTATCAATAGGAAATGACCTTACTAAAAAAAAATCTGCTTTCTCGTTTTCCTTTTTTTTCACAATACTTTAGATTTTCTGAAAATTTAGCTATATGCTATAAACCTCATTTAAGAAAGGTTATTCAACTTTGTAATTTGTGCTGTGTCACTGCTGGAGAACTAAACAACACCTTCTGCAGTGAAACAAATAAAGCAAACACAGTAGCTCTGAGAATAAAACGTTCAACTTTCATAGCAAAATTCAGCAAACACAGTAAAACCTTACTGTGTTTTCTGTGTTTATTTGTGTCTTGGTCTATGCATTGCATACATCCAACATATGCATTTTATATACACTCCATTAGTGCACTCACACACTTTCACTATGACACTCAATATACCGAGTTTCTGAAAATGCTAGAAATAAATCAAAGCAGACCAGCTCATTGGTGCAATCCAAAGAAACACGCTTCAAAGCAGTTACTTGGAAAAACCCTCCAAAATCCCACAACTTTGATCTTTGAGGGGGAAGCCCTCCTATAGTCAGACAGACAAAGACAGCTCTGTTGAGCCTTTAGCTTTTTGTAATGATGATTTCATGAGCTTCTTCGGCAGTAAAAAATATTACAGAGAATTGGAATATAGTATCACAGATGCATCTTCAGTTACATAAGGCTTACTGTCAGTGTAGCTGGAGGATATATGGCCCATTTCTCCCTTTTTAACCTTAAGATGAATGTAACAAAAAGCTACTTGTTTTTACATAATAGCTCCACATTGAGCAGCAAAAATCTTGCTCAAACATGACAATTCAGGCGTAACTGGACTAAAAATGTCTACAAAAAAAAAAAAGAGAAAGGTGACTCTGGAAAATCTGGTACTTATTCATTGTATGTTCAGCCACTTGGGGACCTCACATGATCCACGGAGCACCACTCTTCTATTCTTCTCTCTTACAATCCTAATTCTATTCTATTTTATTACCTTGTGTCCGCTCTCTCTTGACGTTTGCACATTTTACGGTCTGTCCTTATGCTTTTTGCACCTTTTCACCCCCCCACACACACACTCGCATGTTTCTGATCTGTGGTTTATTGGCACACACACTCATAGCGACACTCCTCTCCACCCAGACACTTGAGGCATAGCAGTCCCTCCAATCCTGAGGTTTTGACTTTCCAAAATTGAGTTCCTTTTGAAGATGCTACTTGCTAACGAGCAAGCAGATGGCCAAAATGTTTAAGTTAAAAAAAACCTTACTTCAGTAAACTGCTGACTTTATTTTACGTTATTCATCTCAAGGTTATTATGGATAAATAGAACTAAACTAAAAAAAACTGTTCAAAAGGTTCAGTGTTTTGATTTTAATAACTGTACTGTGACTCCTACATCTGGCATATGCCCTAAATATAATAGCAGCACTACATTAACTGCATAAACTGCATTAAAACAAGCAAGCCCCTCTGGAAACTAACTGAAAGCAAACTCATTCAAAAAGAAGAAGAAGAAGAAGTTACAAATAGAGGCAGAAGAAGATGGATGGATCATTGCTTTTAATTGTGATATCCACTTTTAACCACAAGGTGGAGCAACTTACAAACAGATAGTCGCCCTCTGGACAAACAACGATCCTAAACTAATTTCACGGTTAAGGACTCAGACTGTCCAAGCTGTCTTGGTCCGCTTGCCATGTAAATGCAGACAAATATATTACTTCACAACAAACAGTTTTCTTCACTAAGAGTTTTGTGAATTTGGTCTCACATTAAACCACTAACAGTTTGCTGAACAATTTGAACACAAATATCAAATGCATTATTACATTTATTTTTTAATTTTAGCTGAGGCATACATATTTCTATCCTCTACCAAAATGTTTTTCTTGTTAGCAGGTTTACTGCCCAGTTATGCTAAATGTTTGTACTGCAGAAATCACTGGGTGCTCTTCATAAAATTTGAAGCATCTCGACCTAAATAAATGCCCTGAGATGACGTG